TTGATTCAGGGTCCTCCTGGAAAACTTAATGTTATCAAAAAGCAGTGCTTTTTTCCACTCAGATTTTCAGTCAGCTTAATTCTGTACAGTGCTACTAGGAGCAAAGTAGCAACATGTTGCATTTGAATCTGTTTTCACATGCACCCAGTGTAGCTTGTTGAAGGTTGAGAGAGTAAGGTTTGACTCACTCCCTCGTGTGCACTTACAGATGAGGTGAACACACTTGATTCTTAAGAAGTGAAAGTCTTGATAGGAACACCACAAATATGCAATTTTTTGTTTATTCAGTTACACATTCTCCTGCCTGCCCCGGTGCAATAATTCTGCATACTCCCAGAGCAGAATCAGCTAGAGATCCTTGTCCTTTCTTTGCACCTGATCTCCAGCTGTGGTGCTGCAGGCCGAGGAAGAGGATTGTGTGTAGCAACCCCATGTCCCCTCCCACAGCCACAGGAAAGGCAGCGTAGCAAGCAGTCTTTTTAACGTGTACAGGTTGCAATGAAATGACTGGCTACGTGAGACACGAAAATCTCCTTCCTTCTCACCCCTCTTTCTCGTGGATGCTGTGGGCTAAGGGCTGGTCCGCTGCTCAAACCAATCCAACACCTCTTTGCCAGCTCAGCTATAGCCACCCCTCAGCCCCCTGCCCGGCAGGGACCCATTCACAGCGCCAAGAACCGCCAAGACACCCGGGAAGCCCTTTCTGGTGTTGCCAAGCTCCAGTCTGACGCGCTTGCCGCTGCTCTAGTAAAGCTGTGGCTTCGGAGGAGGGACTGTGGCAGCAGCAGCAACAGCAGGGGAGGAGGAGCCAGAGCTGGCACGGAGCTGTTGCCGCTCGCTGCGAGTGGATTTTCACCTCTACCTCGCCGTGCTGAGGGAGTCGCGGTGCGAGGGAGGCTGCACAGGGGGCCCTTCTCTCCCTCTGACCTTTGCCATTCCCCAGGTAAGTTATCTGCCCCTCTTGTCTCGTTGTATCTCCATCCCCTGCGGCTGGAGGTGGCAGGAGAGGTAACATGGATGGAGGACTTGTTACCGGGCTCTGCCGACAGGAAGCCGGCGGGGGAGATGGGGAAGGAGGCTGCATTAGGGTTTACTTAAGTCTTTTTGTAGATGATGATGCGTGGTTTGGGTTTATTATTATTTTTTATTATTCTGAATGTTGCTCTGGCCGTGGTTGTGATATTTCATTTGTATTCCTTGCCGTGCTGTGCAAGCACAAAGCAGTGTTGACAGCCACCGCGGCAACTGAGCTAATAACAGACATGCACAAGCTGGCCTTGTCAGTCAGCGCTTCAGCACTGCTCTCCCTCTCTTTCCTTCTCCCTGCCCATTAAAAACAAGTAAAATGAGAGGACATAATGAAAGCCTATAATAAAAACCGTTCTTGCTTCAAAATAAGGAAAGTATGTTTCAAAGGGTGGTACTAAAATAATTCTTACTGACTGGTTTCCACGGTACATGCCTTAACCCTGTCGCATGAATTCTGCTCCCTGATTTCTCAATCACTTATTTTTTTGTATAGGGGTGAATTTTAAAAAACAAAAACCACAAAAAACCCACCCACCACCACCACCAAAATCCCAAGCAAACAAATAGCATGAACCCAAACTCCCCCCCACCCTGATGTGAGTAAACTTACTACTCACTTTGATCTCAATAATCCAATTGGCTGTTGCTTGGAAGTAGTAGTGTCAAGAACTTGACAGGGTGAAGACCTGTCGCAAAACTGATAAGGACAACAGATCTGCTATCAGAGTCCTAATTCACACCTTGAAACTGTTCCTGCTAAGTAGAACATCCGGTTTCCTTGCTTAGTCCTTTCTTTCCTCTATGCGGCTACAGACAATACACTCTGGAGCTGAAGCTGTTGTGAGGTGGACTTGGGCTTCTCAGAAGTATTAATGTGTTTTGTGTCAACAGCTACGTGACCCAAAGATCTGAGATGTTGCCCACGCAAAGCTGGATGGAGAGCAATGTCTTTGTCTGTTACCCACACACACCCTTTTCAGAATTAGAAAATTAAGTATACATACCCCGGAGAAGTGGTTGGTGAAGAGAAGGAGGGAGGCACTTGTAAGTTGCAGATATTTTCTGTTCCAGTTAGTAGACTGGCATTTGTGGTTTCCCAGCCTCAATGAAAGGATGAACAATCCAATGAAAAAAAAACCCTAAAAGTATCATTTAATTAAAAAGCTTTGAGGCCACAACTATTTGGTTCCACAAGTAGTAGTTAAAAATATAGAAAAGTACTGGAATTTGAATAAATTAACACTTCACATTTAAAAAGGAAAGAAAGCAAAACTATTACCTCAAAACACGTCAAAAGTGTTTGTCTATGGCTCTGTATTCTTCCTTTATGCCTTGGCCATGTTTCAAGCCAGTTTCATATCAGAACAGCTCGAACAAAACCACCCTGGTGTTAAAATAGCCCCTGACTATGTTCATAGCATCAATTGTTCCCAGATATCAAACATATTATAAACTGAAGGCTTGATAATTGTGAGAATGAGCTCTCTGAATATATGCACACCTTTGCTGTAACAGAGAAGAACGCTAGCAAGCTTTGTCTCCAGATATGTGCATGGGACTCTTGCTGGCTCAGACTTGTGAAACTACAGTAAATATTCTCACCAAAAAAAAAAAATCTGACGTGCAGAAGGGTCTGCTGCCATATCTCTTGTTAGCCTCTGTGGGACAAGAAATGGACCAGTTAGACTGAGTAAATACAATGGCAATTGCCCACAAGCAACTTGGACCCTATTTCCCACTCTGAGAAGTATCTCCATGGGATATAAGCAGTAAAAAAGCACCATGTTCTATTAGCCTCACCAGAATATGGAGTGCAAGTTGTGCGTGTCCTGATCTTTATTCGAAGAGGCATCTTCTGTTTCATAGATATTCAGTCAACATGTTCATGAATAGTGACATCTAACAGAACTGTGTGCTTGAAAATTCCCCTGAAAATCAAGGTGGATCTTGTCAGGTGTAAGACAGGGAAAAAGTGTTCCCTCGTGCGTGTGCTTTAGAGATTATAGTTGTTGTCCTTAGCTTTATGAAACAGTCACTTGCAATGCCATGTACACAGGAGCCTCTGACACTTTTGGAACTAATGGTCATGGTAAGTGATGTTGACAGCAAATAACCTTTTCTAGTGCTGATAGGAGGTATAAAATTACAGCCATACATTTAAGGAGGAAATAACAGGTTAGCACAGATCACTGTGATTCTAAAACTAAGATTATTTTTTAAATTACTTTTTTTAGTGCTTGACTTTGTAAGCTTAATACTGTTGTTAGTTTCTATCTTTTGCACAGCATACACAGGCATGCAAAAACCATTTACTTACAAATTGGGCTGTGAGTTTTTTTTCACCTGATCTATGGGGGAACAAACAACATCACTGAGAAGTCTTGCAGCAGGAAAATAATATTATTTGCTTCTCTAACTTTTCTACCTTCTTTGCTTTCTTTAGGATTGCAAAAATGGTAAAGGAGGATATTGTAAATGACAATGAAGATTCTGAGGCATCAGTATGTGAGAGAAATGGCATGATACCCATGCACGAGAAAAGTGAGGTAATTAATTAGGATCTCAAAGTACAGTTTTAGTCAGAGGAACCATCCTTTTCCTTTCCTACTTTTTCTTCCTACATCTGAAGCGAATACAAAGAGAAATCTCAGTGTGAATTTCCTACAATTAACGAATGTTAAATTTTTAAAAATCTTTGGCATGTTGGATTGCTGGAAATCAGTGGTCACAGTTTCAACTTGAAGTAGAAAATGCATCAGTTGTAAGTTTTACGTTCATAAACTATTGAACATATAGAACATATACTATTGACTGTAAAGATAAGTACCATATGGCATATCTTTATCCACAAGGGTAGCTGGTGATCACAGAATCACAGGGTAGATAACCAAGTAACTCCATGCTGAAAACTCACAAGATTTATGTTCCAACTGTGACTCTGAGTAAAGGATATATATAGATATAGAGAGCAAGAGCGCGCGAGATATATATATAGAGAGAGAGAGAGAGAGAGGGATGAGACAGAAAATAACAGGAAATGTGGAAGTGTTACTGGAGGAGCGCCAAACCACAGTAGAGGCAAGAATTCCATGTCCACGCTATGACAATGAGCTGACATGAAGGTGAATAATCATAAGGGAAGGTAGATGATTAACTTGTCAAAAATAAGGACCCTAAAATGAAGCAAGACATATATCCAAAAATGGTCAAAGAGTGCTTTGGCTATGAATATGGATAAGTAGATGAATCAGTATAAGAGAACAGCTTCAAGGAACCATGCTTCACAGAAATAAGTCCAAGGTGGTATTTCTCCATCTCTACCTTGACCTACCAGCTTAAGCCTTCCAACAATGAATCATGTGAGTAGTGCTTGCACTGTCCAGCTGTTCTGTTTCTTTCATCTTTGTCTAATCATAAGTAGGTTTTCTTATTTTGGTTCAAGGCTTTGCAACAGAAGTTATTTAGGAGTTATATTAACAACACTGTCTCACTGGAATGATGCTAGTTGTTAACTGTATTGTAAAATCCAGTCTGGAAGCAGAACCCTAACAAATTGTAGAAAATATTAATAAATGTTTAACTTGTATAAAAGACAAGCTTAACCTGGCCTGTTAATTTTGTTTCTTCATTGAATATGCTGATATTGTTGCTGAACAGGTGTTATTTGTATTGGGACAGGAGTCCTGTCAGCTGCATATAAAAAGGCAGTCTCTCATATGCAGTTCTTTGTGCCATGTGAAAACAAAGACATAACCAGAAATCCCAAGTATACTACAAAGCCAAACTGTTCTTACAGTGGTTGTTCAGTTAATGTAGCCATCTTCAGATAGTGCATCACAGCTGATTTCAGGTCTTGTACACTACTTCAAATGTATATAGTGCCACTTCTGAGAGGGTCTCATTGCTTTCATTCAGGAGGGACCAACAGTAGATGCCAAAGGTACTGATGGGAATATGCAAACAGAAGAAACTGCTCTCTTGAATCACTCTGCTCAGCAACCTCCAGAACCAACAGCAGGACCTCCAATACCTACAAGAACATGGAGGCAAATATTTGCTTGTCCTCCTCAAGGTTTACTGGCCCGAACAGTGACAAATAGTATGTAAGAAAGACAGTTTAATTAAACTGAGAAATAGCAAATGAAGTACCAGTTTCTCTGGATGTGTTGATATCTGTCCAATGCCTTGGAAAATAATGAAGGGAAATAGCTATGTTTCAAAGTTGAGGCCTTGACTGCTTCCATGGCCTCTGTCACCCTCAAATAAGAGTAAGAAAAATTCAGTCTGAAAATGCAGCACGTTTTATGGTACTAAGAAGGGGGATTTATTCAACAGATTTTTTTTTTCTTCTTCAGTCTTCTGCTTTTATATCTATGCATGCCTGTTCTTGTGAGCTAACGAGAGGGGTGGATTTGGATATTTTGGATATTTTACAGTATTTTCACATACGTTGTAAAATTTTCACTTAATGTTCTTATAATATTTTTCAGGATTTTCTTTCCTGTGAATTGTCTATCTTTGATTGTTATATTAAGGAAACGATCTGTACTGCTTCAGGCTGTCCAAAGACATGACCTTCTTCAGATTTCTTTTTCGTGGGGTTAGCACTGTATTGTACAAGTACATTTAGCAAAAAAAATAGATTTAAATTCTTTTAAAAATTAGACTGGAGCTACAGTTATTAGCTCAAACATATGTCAGGATGCACAGCAGCAGATTCTTACTGCAGTTCTGAAGTAGATGGAGGATAAGCCAATGCAAGATAAGTTAGTGAAAGTCTCTGCTTTAAGTTTGGGACATGTTAAATGTTTTCCACAGTGGTCCAAGGCTCACTCAGTACTTTTTGGTCCCTAATGTTACATTTTTTTAAAGTATCTGAACATCTATAAAATCAGAACATCAGTTTAGGGAGCATCAAATATTAAACACATTGTTATGATTAAACTTATTTTAAAGGTAAGTGATTTTATTTCTGAAATTCATGGTACTTTTTTCCTTAGTAGGAAACAAATGTGATCTAATAGCAAACAAAGTTTTCCCTGAGAGATGACTAAATACTAATATTTCCTGTTTTGTTCCAGTTGCAGTCATGGTTCTGGTTTGGGCTGTGGTTTGGTCCATCACTGGGACTGAGTGTCTCCCAGGTGGAAACCTGTTTGGAATTCTTTTTCTTTATTTTTTTGCTGTCATTGGAGGTAAAATTTTTGGATTCATTAAAATACGAACACTACCTCCTCTCCCTGCTCTTCTGGGTAAGATACCCTTCCTTCCTGCATATTTGTGTTGAATTACCATATTTCTTGTTGTATTACCATCAAGTAATACCTGCATGCTAGATATGTTTGGATTAGAAAAAACCAAACTGTGTCATGCTCCAAATCTGTAGCTTTTCCAAGTGACCTTCGTCTGATCCTCTCTGAGTTGGTGTCAAATTCTCTGAACAGACTCAAATGAAATTGCCTGTCTGTTACTGAGGCTCTCCTCTTAATTCTTTGGGGGCCTTTGGGGGTTATTGTCCTTCAGTCCCCTCTTGTCACTGTTACTTAAAATCTGTTTTTAATATCACTGAACAGGTGTCTTAATCTTATCCTCCTGTTACAATAGGTAATTAATTCATAAGAAAATTATTTCTGAGCTGTTTCCTGCATATATCTCACAATAGAAATATTTTTCAAAGGAAACACTACAGGAATCCTCTACTGCTGATAATCCAGAGCAACTTCTTTCTTCTCCTTTCTGTATCTCAAGATAACTGAAACCTGAGAAAATAAATTCACCACAAGGAATAATTCTTCTGAAGAGAGTTATTTTATATCAGTTATAACATTGTTTTTCTTAGCAACATCTTTATTTTACGTAAAAATACAAAATAGAAATGGGAGATGAAAACTACATTAATTTTGAGATTATCAGAACCTTTTCAGACTTCTTTCCTAGAGGAGGTTTTGGCTAGATCAGTACAAAATTTTGAAGTGCTGTGATGTCAACAAGGCTGAAAAATGAAGCTCCCGTTTCTTCTCACCAGCTGTGTACTGCTCCCTTACTGTCCTTAGTGCGTAAATGAGTAAAGCTGTTGACAGACAGTAAAACTTCATGGCAGAATGGGCTAAGATTAACTGCCTGTGGTGCATGGATGTGATTTTGTAACATGCATAACTGTTGGTGTGCCTCACACAGTAGCCCTGCTTATGGAAGGGCTACATAGCATCTTAACACAGCTCTGTCCAGGCAGCATACGTGTTCTTGCACTGCTTAGTTTCACAAGCAAGAAAAAATTCAAGTAAGAGGGAGGGAAGTTTTGCATAGAGCATGCATGCCTGCAATAACATGAACTTGGGATGTAACACACAAGGAGTCTGCCCTTTCTAAGTAAACCTCCCCCTTGACAACAACAAAAAGTTTGACCATTTGGATTCTGCTTTTTTCAATTACATGTGTATCTAAAAGTTATGAGTTGAGCGTGAAACTGCTTGTCAGACAGGTAATGCTGAATAACAAAGTTAAGCATAACAGCACATGTCTATAGAGTTGCTTAGGACAGGATTCATTGTTCAGATCCCTGAGGAACTGAGGTCTTTGAGGAAAATTGGAGAACTTGGAGTAAAAAGAAGAGATAGATAATGTCTTTAAATATTCTTCTTTACACTAAAAATACAAGTCTTGTACTCTTACATGCCTTTAATCCACTTGTGCTAGGTGCAGTTGAGTGTAATGTGACTGGTTGAGCACTTAAGGACCTTATGGTGAGCCTCTGTCTGAGGAAAAAAGGAGTGAAATTGCTACTGAAACAGTCATATGGTATATTTTAGGTATACATTGCAGAGAGGTTTCTGCAGCAGGCAACATGGAGCAGAACAGTGAGGATATACTTTGGAGTTTTTTTGCTTTAAGTAGATTTCTGGATCAGGGTAGCTCCAGTGACTTGGATCACATGCAAACGTTGCAAAGAGCATGTGATCGTTATGCTAGCCTGATATAATTGTCATGAGGTACCACTGATTAATATGCCACTGCTTTTTTTCCGGAAGGTGGTGGGAAGAACCAATGTTCAAAAGTTTTGCTTGTTGAAGGACAAACCAGGTCCACAGCTGAGGCTCACACTAAGCTGGGACCAACCTGAGCATAGTGTCTGTTTACATTTGGTCTTTTTTGGTTTCCTGTTTCTTAACGTAGCTAACACATTTTTGTGGCATAATTTTATATCTTTGAATCATCAAGACCTACAATGAATCTCTGCAGATCTATACTGAAAGACACCCTTTCCTGTACCCTTCCAGAACTATGGTTCTGATGGCTTTGCAGAAAGTCCCTGATTAGACAATTTTGGTAATATTTGCAAAAAGGCAGGATCTTGCAAGTAGCTCAAATAGAGGATAAGATCAAGTTCCTGACTTTTCCCTCCTTTTCCCCCTTCTTTGCACAAGAGTCATATTGCCAGAGCATTTTAAAATGTCCACGTTAGCCTATGATTAGCTGGTTTAGATTATATTTCCCAAAGAACTCAGTATTATGGTTCTTGTGATACTTGCATTTCTTACACCTAAGAGGATTTTTAACAATTTCCAACTTCTGAGATAAATACGCAATATTAGATGATCTTCCTCTTTTCACATTAAATATATTTATCTTTTTAGCTTGTTTTAAGGATGCAGAGATGTCTTTGCTTAGGGTAAGTATGACCTGTACCTGATGAATAAAGCTGGTTTCTGTTAACTCATGCTGAGGCTGTGTCAGCATCCTACAGATTTATTCATTGGTGACCTGGAATGATCTTAGGCCTCATCGCTTTAAACATGTGTCCCTCTTTCCATGCCTCAGTCCCCATCCTTAAACCATGGCTAATAATTCAGAACATGATTCGTTTCATTGTCTCTTATAAATACATAATACAATGTCTATATTTAAGAGTTCTATGCAAGCTTTTAGTGTAATAAACCCCAATCATTTGAAAGGAGTTTATTTGCTTTCATTTAAGGGATGCTACTTGCTGGTTTCCTAATCCGAAATACCCCATTCATCAGTGATATTGTCCAGATAAACCTACGCTGGTCTGCAACACTGAGGAATATTGCTCTTTCTATTATCTTGACCCGAGCGGGGCTTGGCCTGGATGCAAAGGTATGAGACCAGTCATTTGTGTGAGGTAAAGTATACAACAGCCCTCAAAAAATTGAATAATTGAGTGTTAAAAATATTGAACTATTTGGTCTTTTAGAGGGTCTGCAAATTAAAGCATTACAGAAAGCATAGTTTCTGTTGTATAATCATATGTTAATATTGGCAGTGTAGGCAAGCAATCCAAAAAATACCTGAAGAAAACGGATTTTATTACTGTTTTTCCCCTTGCCTTAAAGAAATTTCCTGAATTTTGTAAGCAGAACATCTTGAGGATAGGTGCTCTGTCGTGGTCTGTCAGGAAGAGTTTATACTCCCTGACAAACTCCCTGTCACAGCTTACCACTGACAGACTAAAAAAGTAATGGAAGGGATCTCCAGTCCTTGTAAGAGAATGTTGCTTGTGTTGACACAAATAAAAAAAAACCCCAACCAAACAAAAAATCCAAACCTGTGTGTCTTTTTTACTTTTTAATCCTTTTTTAATCTCTGCCATTTTAATGCAAATATATCAATTGCAGAGATTAGTCCTGCTGCACTACAGAAACAAAGCTTCACATCACAATAAACCCTATAATGCCTCTGTGAATAAAAAAAATAATCTTCCTCCACACACTGAGGCGTGATGTTCCATAAATTAATAAAGGCAAAGTTTTGCTTGATCAAAATCAGCTGGCTGAAATAAAGCTGCACCATATTGGCCCCTATCTATTTCAGTTTAAGGAACTGCTTTAAGTTCATATAAAACTTTGGTCAAATATAGCTAGTTCAGAACAACTAAACTGTTTTTTCTTAACCAAGATGAAAACTTAGGAGTTGCCAATGCTTCAGATATTTAGGAAAACGGGGTTTTGTCATTCTTGAAAAATGCTTGGTCTTAATCTTTGACCCATTTTTCTCACATGTGGCAACCAGAACTATCATTTGAACTCTATGTCACAATGCTTTGATGCAGTTACAGTTCTTCCTCATGTAATCGAAACTATGAAGACAAAGATGTCCATTGCTCTGGTGATTCTCAGCCCTGATCACACTGGGATAAACTGTGCACTGGTTAAAAGTGCAACTCATTGATTTTATTATTTTTTCCATGTCAGAATTAGGGACCTGTCCTAGCAGAGTCATGTTTGTGACTATTAAAGATGGCTGTTACAAGTAAATACTCTGTTTTAGAAACACTTTTGAATAGCAGTTTCTGAGCCAAATGCAACTTAATCTGCTTTGGATATAAGGTGAGAAACAGCTGAAAGAGGTGCTTCAGTCCTTGTGCCACGTTTCTGCAGTTTTACAACTTTTCATGATTTGTTCATGGATTTGGGGATAATTTTTTGAGGGCGTCCATGCAACTTGTAAGATCATAGCAAAATCTTCTGTGGAGGGAGCAAATGACCTCAAGTAAGTGTGGGTAAGTCAGCTGTGTTGGGGGTGCACTTTTCAAATGGATCCCTGCTAGTCCAGCCTCTCACATTTAGTTTGCTGTGCACAAGCAGCCAAAACACAGTTCTCTGTCACTCTTCCTGTGACATGCAGGAAACTTGTCCAACCTCGATTCAGTGGGTTTCACTGCCACACTTGGAATTTTGTGTCCAAATCCAGTTGTGCTTGAGTCTATCACTGGCTCAGGCCATGTAAAGCTATCATATCCTGTACAGCAGCTCAGAGGGGATTCTTTTAATAAACCATATCAGATTGTAAAAGTATTTCCTCTCCATAAAGCCAAGTGTACTAATACTAATGTCTGAACATGCTTTTATATTGCAGGCTCTTAAGAAACTCAAAGCAGTCTGTTTACGGCTTTCTTTTGGACCATGCCTGTCAGAAACATGCACAGCTGCTGTTCTTGCCTACTTGTTCATGCATTTGCCATGGCAATGGGGTTTTATATTAGGGTAACGTACTCTCTTTTCTCCTGTATGACAAAGATGCCTGTTTTAATGTTGCAGTTAAATGATCCAAGTGTAGTTAGTTCTCTGTACCAAGCAGAGACCTCAATTTAATGCCAGTTGGGAAGCCGTGTTTAGCCCTTGTAGTGGTTTGCTTACCATTCATGTCTGGCTCTGTGGCTAATTTAAAGGTCACATTTCCAGGCAGTGGAGGAGTACTTGCATCAGTACTCTTCTGTGCTTGTGACCTGAGCACTTGAAGAAGGAACAAGGATGGTGTAATTCCTGAGTCTTTAGCCACACACAACACAGGGGGTTTTCAGGGACAGGAAATGATACCAAAATTTGGAGAATCTTGATGCTGGAATTCAGAAACTCCCCATTAGAAAGATGCACGTAGGACAGTCTTCCTGTCGCAAGTCAAGGATATGAATATGGTATTTTAATATTCTGGAGTAATATCCTTGAAGAAGAAACCTTTTCCATCTAGTTCTGTCTAAACTGATAGACTTAGTCTGGATCCACATAATGGAGCAAGATGGATGAACTTCTCCTCTGCCACACACTGATTTTTATGGCAAGGAACTGGGCTGCTGAGTTATAAGCAAGTCTAGACATGCCTTAAAGCTCTGAAATTGGACAGTTAAAGCATATATCAGCATAACTGGCCTGCAGTGTAGACTCAAGTCTTAGTGAGAGCCCTTTACTTTTAATACTATTGGGTTGGGTAGAAAGTAAAAGCTGATTGCTGAATCTGCATAGAAATACTCCTTCTCGTAATTAGCAGGGAAAGGTAAGGAAAATACCTTATCTAAAGGCCTTCTCATTTATACTTTAAAAGAATTGGGGTCAGGACATTTTGAAGTCTTTTAGTTCAATGCTTTCTTTTTAAGAGGGGCTGAACCTCTGTTTTCAGTTTTGTTCTAGGTGCAGTGTCCCCTGCTGTGGTGGTCCCCTCAATGCTGATTTTACAAGCTGGGGGATACGGGGTGCAGAAAGGTGTCCCAACTTTGCTAATGGCAGCTGGCAGCATTGATGACATTCTGGCTATCACGGGCTTCAACACTTGCCTTGGAATGGCTTTCTCTTCTGGTATGCTGGTTAATCTGTACGTGGTGAAATCCAGAACAAACAGCGATATTTTGAGGAATGTGTGCTCTATTACGACTGACCAGTTTGTAACTTAATGACATCTTAGAAAGTTCATGTATGGACTTGAATATTGAGAGGGAAGTTACCCATGATCAAAAGTCTATCCTGGAATCACCCTCATAGGTCTACAACATGGTTTGTGCATGAAGGGTCTGCGTACAGCTTACCAAACCTGTTTTTCTTTTGCCAAATAGGTTCTACTCTGTACAATGTGCTCCGTGGAGTGCTGGAGGTTGCTGTTGGCATTGCAGCTGGTGGGATTCTGGGAATGTTTGTTCGATATTTCCCAAGCCGTGATCAGGTAAAAACCCAGTAAAAAAACCTCTTCATAAAATAGAGATTCATTGCTAAGGGATGATGTTCTTAAATTATTCATTTGTAAGCTCCAAGTGTGAAGCTGCTTCTGGGGAAAGCTGTGTACAGCGCTAACAGCTTCCAGGTTGCAAAGCTTATCAAGTGAGGATGTGTTTTGTAGGTGATGACTTGCTTACAGCAACAGTAACCATGTATGATCTCATAGTCCTGCCAGTTGCAGAGTTTGAAACCCAGCTCACCATCCTGCTTTCATTGAAGGTGCTGGAAATGTGCACATGTAAAGGAGAAAGGGTCCGATACCCATTTCAGACAGTAAAATAATCATCAATTAGATTGATGTGCAACACATTTACTTCTATAAGTTAGTTTCCAGCAGGCCTAAGATTAAAGCAGACAGATTGTAGGCTGTAAGTGATTTGGCGTATCATTAGCGCTAATTAGAATGCAATAAAAACTAAGCTTATATAAAGTGGTGGGTCATTTTACTATCAAGGGGCAATTAAATGAACAGAAAACTGTGGAAGAAAGTAGACAGGTTCTGGATTACTGAAGTCAGTTTGCGAAGCACCCATTGCACTCAGTGGGATCAAATTTTCTTCTTATTAAATAACATAAGAAGTGTGATACAGGAGCTAAACAGATATAGAAATGGGGAAGAATGGCAGAGATATAACTGTCTGCTGTGAGACTGGATCAAATAAAACTAGACTGTTCCTGGCAAATGCTTGTTTGACTTGTTCTTAAGAACATCTAGTGGCAAGGATTTCATATCTCCTTGGATAAAACATTCTAATACTTCACAGGTAGAAAATCCTGTTATTACAGACTTGAAGCAGGGCTGTTTCATATCAGCTGTTTCAGGCTGTATCATATTCCTTGTGATGCAAAAAGCCTATTGGCAATAAGATTTTTGAATGGGCAGAGGAAAGAAAATATTAAATTTCCAAAATTTAGATTTCTTAGGAACTAAGGTCCAAAGAAAAACCTCAACTCCACTGAACAATTCAAGTCTCACTTGAAAGGATTGATTCTTTCATAATGGCTAATGGAGATTGTTGTTTTCAAATTATTTTCAAAATCAACAGAAATAACCTTTTTCCTCCATTTCTAAAATAAATTTGGTTTTGTTTGTCTGTTTCCTTGGCTGCAGGCATCTCTGGCATGGAAGAGGTCATATTTCATACTTGGGCTATCCATGTTTGCTGTTTTTGGCAGCATCTACTTTGGCTTCCCTGGATCAGGAGGGCTCTGCACATTAGTCCTGGCTTTTGTTGCAGGTGTGGGATGGTCTAATGAAAAGGTGAATGTTTACATAAAGAAGCATACCATACCATA